CTGTCTGTAACTTAGTCATTCCTGACTTTTCACAGAAGTGTATTCTTTATTACATTCTAGTTATGGCTATTGCTGTAATCAGATTGATGAGGCTTCGTTCTGCACATCCCGTGTGTAGAAAATTTGAGAAAAGTTAAGAATATAAAATTATTTCTCTTTCAAATGAACAAAGTGAATATGTGTAGACCACTGGTCGAAAAACGTTTTTGATCGCAGGTCAGTTATACATACATACATATATATATATGTATATATTGAAAAATTTAGCGTTGTGTTGGATCAGTGATAGTAGTATAATTCTTGATACCGGTACAGGTATTTAAATGTGTATGTTTATTTACATACAAAAACAAAATTAATTATTTAAAAAAAAACAGTTTGTTTTGAATTTCGCGCAAAGCTATACGAGGGCTATCTACGCTAGCCGTCCCTAATTTAGCAGTGTAAGACTAGAGGGAAGGCTATAACTTCTAGGTTAAGTTAAGCATCTTAACTCTGAGTGCCAACTCTTGGGCTACTCTTTTACCAACGAATAGAGGGATTGACTGCACAATATAACACCCCCACGGCTGAAAGGGGCGAGCATGTTTGGTGAGACGGGGATTCGAATCCGCGACCTGCAGATTGTGAGTCGAGCTCCCTAACCACCTTCAAAAACAAGCAAGATGATTCTGCCACCAAATACATTTAACAACAAAAATAAACAGTTTTTGAGTGATTTTGCATCACATAATTTAATGACTTCCTTGGTACTATACAAACAAAAATAAACAGTTCTTGACTGATTATGCCTAAAATTGATCTTAAAATTCTCTGTAGCCGTGTCTATTTCCCCTCTTTCCTTTAATATCTTTGCTCTTCTCACATAGCCAAGAAATTTGAACTGAGCAATGATTGTGATCTCATGGGTTGCAACAGTAAAGCCAATTTTTGGCAGGGAAGCCAAATCATTGCCGAGTCATAGGTTGCCGACCACTAGTGTAGACAATGTCATTCTACAGTCTAACACAACATCCAGGAAAGTGATAGAACTCTTTGGTCTCCACATGTCAGCATAAAAAAGAGAAAAGACATGTGTGTAGGAAATCTTGTTCCTAAAACAGGCTATATCTGGTTAGATAGACACTTTGTAGCTATAGTCCACTGGCAGAGGCTTTTGCTCCACTAATTCCACGGGTGTGTGTGTGAAGTGCATGTAATAACTAGATCACAGACATATGGGTCACTCCGTGGCCTTCCCATGGATTGACCAGAATGAATCTTTGTATAAAGCTACAGCTAATTTCGTAAAATTTCAGATATACATTTTACAAATTTCAACTGACAGCACCTGGTACCTAGCATAGCCCATATCTGTCGTGTAAGAATGTACAATAATCCTAGAGCTTTTAGTATTTTTTCCCCAAATGTCAATATCCACTTAATTGAAGGTGCGGTATTTTTCAGGTAAAGCCCATTTCTCTACGAATACCAGATAGGCAAACTTGAAAATAACAGCAGATTTAATCAAGAAATGGGGGAGTGTTCTGTAGTAGATAACGTGACTGACTTTAAGTGTAAAATAATGAATCTAGACAAATGTATCTAAATGAACAAAATCTTTATCGTTACAACTAAAGAGAAAGAACAGTGTGCAAACTTGCACAGTTTCTTCTACGAAGCTGTGTTTAGCTCCGCAGCTTTCGCTCCCTTAGGATTAATATTCATAGAACTAAAGCATGACGTTCTTGAAATATATCTTCAATCGATCTCCTAGTAGTAGTGGCTAAAGAAAGTATGCCTGAATTTAACAGGTAAACTCGATTTCTTTGTACAGTTAACAACATCACCTGATGACATTCTTACAGCATAAGTTAGCTGTTACATTTAGCTACTGGCAATCTGGCCTGAAAAGGATATTAAGTGTCAATCCTTTCAACCCAGAGGCTACATATATTACTGGAAAATCTTCTAGGGCAGAATAGACTTTTCCTTTTTCTGGAGAACAAAAACACAAATCAACTAGAACAAGGCAATCTTTGCGAGTTTCTGGACTACTTGTTGCTGCCATTACTGGTGTTTCTGAATGTGACCAACTCCTTATTAAGTTTTGTCATTCACTTTCTGTCTTGCCTGTCTCAGGGCCCGGCATGGCCAGGTAGTTAGGTCGCTCGACTCACAATCTGCGGGTCGCAGGATCGTATCCCGTCACACCAAACATACTAGCCCTTTCAGCCGTGGGGGCGTTATAACGTGACGGTCAATCCCACTATTCGTTGGTAAAAAAGTAGCCCAAGAGTTGGCGGTGGGTGGTGATGTCTAGCTGCCTTCCCTCTAGTCTTACGCTGTTAAATTAGGGACGACAAGCGCATATAGCCTTCGTGTACCTTTGTACGAAATTCAAAACAAAACCCAAACCAAGCCTGTCTCAGAAACAATGGTTCATTTTCTTTTAGCAGGTTTGTATACCTCTGTAAGGAGGCATTGCATTTTCCTTCTTCAGTTCTAAGTCATTCATCATTCGGTCTTTTGATCTCTTATGTGTCCTTAGCACATCCAATTGACACTATTTTCATAATTTTTGCCAGTTTTCAGAATAGGTTTGGTATAGCAGGATCTTCTGGGTCACATTGTTGTAATTGTCCCATATTACTTGTCTACTTATCTCTGATTATAAATACGATTAAATATATTTGATCTGAAGTTAAGATATGATGTTTTACTTTTTCAGATAGATTATAAAAATGAACTTAGCCATGTCAAAGGAGAATTTTTTACCAGAATGGAAAATATAACTGCAGGTAAATTAAACAAAACATTGTCATATTGAAATATATAGATAAATAAAAAATTTCATTATATACGGAAATCATTATTGCTACTCTTCTCTTGATGAAAGCGCTAACCACGTGATTGACGACTCCTCTTATTCTAAATTTAGGAACATTATATCCCTGGGTCATCATCCAAATTGTCAGTCGAAAGAATCACTGCCACTTTCTATACAAGATGCGAAATGTTACAGCAATCTTCCCTATGAGAAAGTACACGTGACACACTCATTGACTGACCTAGTTCCATAAGTAACAGGGGCAATAAGAACTTATTGGCTCCCTTTACCATCATTCTGTATCAAGAACAAACTACGCAGTACACACAGAAATTGAAACAAAAATTATGTATGAACTCTTAGTTACTGTTGATTTTCTCTCAGTCACAAGAAAAAGGAGACGAATGTTCCTGAACACGTTTCTCTCGACTACAAAACAAGAATATGAATATTACCCTTTTATCCATGTCATTCACGTGACAGGGAGACGAATATTACCATTGTATCTCTGTCATTCACGTGACGCTAGTAGTTGTATTTTCTTTGAGATAAGGGTCATGCTGTTTATATAAGTCACAATAATATCAATAAAGGTATCCTTGAAGTAGTCACTCTCAAACCCATTATTCTAGAAACAGTTACTCCACTATTGTTATCCTGGACAAAGTCACTTCCAGTGTCTGTATCCTTATGCAATCATCCATACTACCGGTATCAGTGAAACAATTATCTACACTATTAGCACCCTAAACACAGTTACTCAGTTAAATGTAACTTGGACAAAGTCACACCCACTACATGTATCCTTTTAACGGTAACTCCTATCAGGAAAACAATCACTTCCACCAGTGGTACACTGGATGGTCACCTCCGTTACTGTTATTCTAGATGCAGTCATCTACGCTACAGGTATCCTTCAGTCACCTCATTAATGGTATCATGGATATAGTCACACACACACTATTGGTGTCAGGGAAACAGTCATTTCCACTGCAAGTATCCTAAACACGAGTTACCCAAATAGATGTGTCATGTACACAGTCATCCACACTAGTATCTTGGATACAGTCACTCCAATAATGGTGACATGGAAATAATCACTCTCACTTTATGTATCTTGATCACAGTCATACACACTACTGGTATTCTGGATACAGCCATACATACTACTAATATTCTGGAAACAGTCACTCAACTACTGATATCGTGGACAAAGTATGTTTTGAATTTCTGCAGTTTAAATAATAACTATTTAAATAATAAATATTGACTGAAATATTGCTTTAACCAAAATTGTGAAATATTTTTAACGCAAGGTTACATATTATCGTAAGTTTAAGAGCACAAGTTTAGAAAAATCTCATGGCCTAAGAACAAACAGGATTAATACATTTTTGCCCGTTTAACCAGCTGAAGCACGTAGCATAAACGTCATGGATTTGAATAGGCTAATGAACAAACATATATTAGGGATCAAATTTAAGAGAGTTTGATAAGGCACTACAATAGCGGCCTTGTGCTGTAATTGGCATAATAAGATGAAAGGCAACTCGTCACATAAAATTTATTGATTTTTTTTACAATACAAAAGTGAGACAAATGTTTTTCATATTTAATAATTTAAGTAAAAAGTCTGAGCCTGAGCTAGAAAAACACAACTAAATGTTTTTTTTTATAGAACAACATAAATATATATAACTGTTAATGTTTTAGTTATTGATATCATTTTGGCCTGGCATGGCCAGTTAATTAACTCGCAATCGGGTTCGAATCCCCATCTCAGCAAGCATACTAGCCCTTTCAGCCGTGGGGGGTGTTATATTGTGCAGTCAATCCCTCTATTCGTTGGTAAAAGAGTAACCCAAGAGTTAACGGTGAGTGCTGATGACTAGCTGCCTTCCCTCTAGTCTTTCACCACTAAATCAAGGACGGCTAGCGCAGATAGCCCTCATGTAGCTTTGCGCGAAATTCAAACCAAACAAATAAACATAGTTTTGGAATATAAAATCTAGATAAATAGTGATCTCTACCATCTGCAGAGAAAGTTGTTAAAATACTTATTAAACTACCTGTATGGCTCTCTACCTATCTATTTATTTTTCTCCATATTTGTTTCTGTTTATTATGAAATTGAAGTTTGAAAGAAAAATGTAGGAAACGGTGTTTTGGAAAGTTCAAAGAGAACAACGACTTTGATGAAGAAAGAGTTTTATTAAAGCCAAACAGTATCGTAAGTTTCCCTTATTACAAACATTCACACGGAAACATAAGAAATAAAACAATTCAATAAAATGTTTTAGCTTAATTAAACAATTAAACATTTAAGCGTTAATGCGTTTACGTTTGATGACTGCTGTTATAGGTAGATTCAGAGAAACATAAAATGAATTTAAAATGTGGCTTCCCTGTATGGCATCATTCTCTGGTAAACAAATACCTGGAAAAAATATGGCATCAGTTTTTGACTTAGAACTTTATTCAATCTTAAGATGTGATTCAAGTAAATAGTTTAAACAATAAAAATATTACACAAATTTTTAAGCTAAAACTAAAAAAAGTACTAAGTTTAACTTGCTAAGCCTAATAGCACTGAAATATTGTAAAGCTAAACGTGTTATGTCTAATCGATTTTTTTTGTTTAACTAATAACTACAAACGATAGACGTTTTCTGTAACAATTTTTAAATTACAAGAACATTAATTATATGTATAAAGGTAAAGTGAAACATTCGGGTTTTTATTACAATTATGGTGAATGTTTCTTCGTGAAATAAAGCTATAAAGGTTCTGGAACTTTTCATTACTAGTATTATAGTAATAAACATCATTAAGGTATTATGATATGGACATTTAAAGGGAAAATATGATATAAATTTATTCATATTTTCTCACGAAACGTTCTTATCTTATTTCATTCGCGTTCTGGAACAGGTTATAATATTACAAGATAAATAATGAAATTTGGAATTTAAAAACGTGCAAATAGGGATTTTAATAAATGTAAACAAACAAGGCTGGAGACATCATTTACTCAAACTACAAAGCCCTATTTTGTATCTATGGTGTTACCTAGAATTGCATTTGGTGGAGTCAAAATAGGGATTTGTAGTTTGAGTAAATAATGTATACAGTGTCTCCATCCTTGTTTCCTTACTTTTTTACGATCCCTATTTGCAGATTTTTAAATTACAAATTATTTATTTATATTGTTTGCTAGCTTTTTTATGCTTAATTATGGACAAAGGATACTTGATATGGTAATTAACTTTATGCATTGTAATGATAATAAACATAGCTAGTAACTAGCTGATACAGTTCATGATGATTTACTGTAGCTATTGACTACTTGATCGCATTAGTTTGAGATGTAAAATGTTAAGCTGCAGCTGGAGATTGTCATGGATATTTGTTTGAATATATTCATAGTTTCAGTGTAATTAAATTCTCTATATATAATGCATAGCAATGGGCAGACATATGCCTAGACAAAGACACAACTCACACTAAGTGCGTATAAAAAACGTACCAGTAGAAAAGCAGCCTTTTCAAATAAAACATATACGTCTAAGACATCGCTTTAAAGAAATATTCGTGTCTTTCAAAGTAATTATTCTATGAATGTGGGCAATAAAATTGAATATTATGTGTATTGATTATTTTTTACTCCTTCACTTCATACATAATATAGGGGTTGGCTCTCTAAGGACATTGATTGTATAGTGTACAAAGCATTGAGTATGTACATGTTACCGTCATATAATATCCATCTATTATTGTCTGGTAATTCCTATTTCACTATTTGTAGTTAAAACAAACACAAAAAAACAAATATATGTAAGAAAGCTTACTTCAAGGGGTAATGGTAACATCGTTTACACATGAATTATAAAGTTTTTAGCTTATGTAAAACATAGAAAAAATAAATCGACTTTTCAATACACCTACCACCTTTGCAGTGCCTTATTTAGTATTCTACAAAAGATGTGGATGCAATATACCAAGTCATTTTTGTTGTAGGCTGACAAGAGAATTACAAACGGGATGTTTTAAACGGATTTTCTTTTTCTTGTAAGTATAACATGCGTGATTTTTTGTGCATTTTTATATGTGTACAGCCTTAATAGTCAATAGTAAAGGTTCTAAACTGTTGTTTAAACAGAATGTTTAAGGTGCTTTTTGCCCGAACATTCTATTGGGGTTTGTGCAATTCTTTACGATCCCTATTATTACGATGATTATGTAATTAGTAAAAATAGATTAGACATCTTGGAAGTACATACCAACACATTAAAGTTAAGCCTACCATAAACAACAGCATTTCCTCAAACCTGAAGGACACCAATATAATTTATAAGCTAACGTTAGTGTCTTGTCAAAAGGCAGTAAACGCCGCAAAAACGAAGTACATTCTGTACGACTCAAAAGGAGCTACTAAGTATTTTTCGAACCGTAATTATTTCCATCATCACCCATATAAACCAAAGTTTACACTTCAGACAAATATGCAGCATTGAAGTGTCTGGTAACGTTGCACAATCTAGAAGATCTGACGACAAGCTGGCTCCAGAAACTTCAGGAATACAACTTTAAACATCATGCATCGCCATGGATGGGATGGAGGAAATGCTAATATCCTATCCTAAAGATCAAGTGTTCGTCAAGAATTTAAACACTGCAAAAAGAGGGGATCATAAGACATCATAGATGGTCAACCTAGAGTACAACAGAATATAATCCAAAATGGGGAATATGTGATTGATGATGAAGAATTTAATGTGGTCCAACACTCAACTGAAACATTGTAAATAGTAATTTTATTGCTAATTATGGAATTTCAATTTTAGTGCACTGTTTTATTTATGTATTAGATTGTTCAAAGTATTTTACAATGCAGGAAGGGAGCAGTGTTGTGGACTGTACTTCATTGTTGCAATGCTCTTTTTCACTAGAGAGAGTTTTTACATGCCATAATGATATTGTGAAGTCTAGAATTTTTATGTGGAGTTACGAGCCTCGTAGTATGTAGAAAACTCATATAATATAAAATGCCAGCTTGAGTGAGCTAGAGTTAATTTATCTTTTCACTGTCCATTAGTGACTCTGTTTGTAGTGACAGAGTTAGTTACACAGTCGGCATATTTTTTATAAATGTATTACTGTATTACATTTTGCATATATGTTATTGATTAAGCTTATTTGTGATTCAGGCATACTGTTAGTTTCGTAATATTTCTTAAAATGTGTTTTATGAAATTAGGCCTGCATAGAACGTTAATGAAAAAATAATTTAATTCAATATCATTAAATGGATTGGATTTTCAATATTTTTATCCGATAATACAAAAGAATCCACTCAACAGTAGAATATTTGTAAACAATATTTGCTGGAAATATATAAAATCTATCTAAGGCATGAAAAAGCTCCCGCGTGTCACATGCTATTAGGAAAAGAGTTATAGCAGGAACGGCTATATTGATTTAAATTAGTTATAGGCTATTTTACAGAAGGGACAAGACAGTATTGTAGTAATTATCAAAATTACCTGTCTTCTTGAAGTTTATGCCTCCTTTGCCTCTTTCATACATTTGTTGATAATTTGCATTCCTTTTTCTTGTAATTCTTCCTGTAAGACGAGTTTTGAACATAAGTTATGATTGCAGTTATATGAAACGGAAATATATATTCAGATATAAAAAGTTAATATTGAAATATATCGAAATTATAGACTATTAAATGCATTTAGAACTTTTTAACGTTTGAATTCAGGTCAAAACGAAAAAAATGCATTTCAATTACCCGAAGAAACATTTAATAGCTAAAGTCAATATGATTAAGAAGTATGAACATAAACTAGATATATTTTAAATTATGTTATTACATATAATATGTAATATTCGAGCCACTGATCATATAGAAGTCAGAATCACAATGAAAGCTGAGCAGACAACAACAAATACGTCAACAATATGAACACAATCTATATGGAAGCTTGTTTTCTTCAAGATTGTTGAACATTTGTTAGGTTTTGTTCTCATTAAGAACGATGTCAATGGTCTACTTAGCAAAAACTGAAATACAATATTGTTAAAGGATTAGTTTTCACAGAAGGATATCATCATGCCTGGTGTTATTGTTTGAAGTAAAGAACTTTCAGTTATACAAGAAATATAATTGCAATAAATATTTGGTGATAAAGAAAAGTTTATTTTTGGTGTTTGTTTTCAATCTGGAGGGAGACAACGATCTTGTAGTTATTAATTTACAGGAATTGAAAAATAGTAACACGGGCCTAGGATGGGTTTATTGTCTTGAAATGTTCTACAATAATTCCTGTACACTGAATCTGAAAATGATATCCGTTTTTCTTCATTATGTACAGATTTTTTCACAAAACGCCATATGTACTTTTACATAAGAGAATCATTTTCATTGACAACCACTGGCTATAGATTTCTCTAGACCAATCGCGACGTGAGAGTCTTAACTATCGTTCTAGAACCTACAAGAAGCACATCGCTAGTATATAAATGATTAACAGGCCGCATGATGTGTCATTTTTGGACAGTATTTGTTTGTGCGTACACTTTGATATTATTTTTTCTTTTCAATATTATTTATTCGTCGCTATGGCAACAAGAGGTTGTATAAATGACCCAAACATATTCAGTTATATTTATGGTAAATTTGTTGTAAAGAAACAGAGGCAAAACATTACAGAATTAGTAAAAAAAGCGTATTACGCGTATTTGGGAATAAAACTTGAGGACCAAGACAAAGTTTGCACCGTTTGTGTCGAAGAGACAATGGACTAAAGGTAAGAAAAAGTCTTTGCTTTTTGGAATTCCAATGGTCTGGCGTGAGCCTAGAAACCACGGAGATGACTACTATTTTTTGCTCACGTAACGTGCAAGGCTTCAACACTCGAAATAAAAAGGAAATTTCTTACCCAAACCTTCAACCTGCTATAAGACCTGTTGCTCATGGACCTAATGTACCTGTACCTACTCCACCAGAGGCTCTTGATACAGTTTCATCTGATTATGAGTCTGATGTCAATAGAAATAATGATAGGGATTGTTTTCAACCTGAAACGTCTTGTGAACTACAACTTTTCACACAAGGTGAACTTAATTATTTGGTGAGAGATTTGGGCTTTCCGAAGGATTCTTCAGAGATTTTGGGGTCCAGACTTCGGTCTAAGAACTTACTTTATCCAGAGATATCATTTTACTCGTACATAAATCGTGAGAAAGAGTTTATACCATACTTTTCGCAAGAAGGTTCACTGGTTTATTACAACTATATATTGCTGAATTAATAACAATGCTAGGAACTGCAGTCTATGAACAAAGTGATTGGTGGTCGTTCATGTATTTCTCCAAGAGAAGTCTAAAAGGTGTTCTCCTTCACAATGGTAACATATATATGCATCTGTTCCTATTGCTCATTCTGTTCACTCGAAGGAAACGTACGAAAATATCGAACTTCTTCTTAATAAGGTCAAATACAAAGAACATGGTTGACTACTTTGTGGAGACATAAAAGTCCTTTGTATGATTTTGGGTGAACAATCCGGTTATACAAAGTTTCCATGTTTTTTTGTGAATGGGACAGCAGAGCACGAAATCAGCACTGGATAAAGAAGCAATGGCCACACAGAGTTAGCCTGATACCAGGATCGGAAAACATTGAACATGAAAGTTTAGTTGACACTAAGAAAGTCCTATTAGCTCCACTTCATATACAAATGGTCTTGATGAAGCAGTTTGTAAAGACCTTAGAAAAAGATCGCATCTGTTATAAGTATCTATGAGGGCAATTCCCAACTCTTTCAGAAGCGAAACTTAAAGAAGGATTTTTAGTTGGGCCTCAGATTAGAAAATTAACTTCGAATAAATAATTCGAAAGGATAATGAGAAAATTTGGAAAAGAAGCCTTTAAAGATGTTATTGACATTTTTTGGGAAACAACAAGGACCGAAATTACAAAAAGATTGTCAATAACATGCTTGATAAGTTCAAATAGTTGGGTTGTAATATGAACTTGAAAGTTCATTTCTTACACTGACATATTGATTATTTTTCGGAAAATCTGAGTGACATCAGCAAAGAACAAGGGGAAATGTTTGATCAAGAGAAATTCCTTTCATCAAGGGGAATGGATAGGAGGTATGAGGGAAGGTGGAACATCAGCATGATGGCTGATTACTGCTGCTCATTGAAATGAGATGCTCCAGATGTAATACATAAAAAAAAACACAACATGTCGTTTTAATACTAAAAGACGTAGATTCCACAAACAAACGAGGATGAATGAGGATGCATATTCATTTGATATCAATGTTCTTCCCTTTTATTCAGTTTGTTTGTATTTTTTTAACAAACATAATAATCAAAATGTTCATTGTGGTAAACGAAATAATATTTGATCTAAGTAAGAGTATTCTTCCCGATTTGTAAAAAAAATCCTTATGTTATAGAAAAAAATTAATATTATTTTCGAAATTTGCGTAGCTGAATTATAAAAAAATCCGTTGTTAAGACCAAAACAACTTTTATGAAGTTTAAGTTCGCAGACCTGTGTAATTAAGCGTGCTACGTCTTTATCTGACTGTGTTTAATATGAATATTGTTCACGAAAAGGGCTTATTCAAAGAAAATGAAACAGTTGTTGTATGAAGTGTTAGAACACTCCACCAGAGTTACAAATGATTTTAAGAGCTCATAGAACCAAATCCCAAATAACTGAAATTTTTGAAATATAATGGACAATTCATAGTATTATGAAAGAAAGACTTTTTAGTCTCTTTGAATATTTAGTTTAATTTCTAATACTATAAGAATGTGAGATAAAATACTAACAAACTTTTTAATTACTTAAAACAACCCTTAATGCCTTTATTCCAAACTTTTCTGAATCAAGGTACCATGGATACCGCTTGTGTTGTATTATGAATTTCTAACTACATTTTATAAGAACTTATTGTTTTCATATGCCTGATAATGGTGGTGATAACTTTGGATTTGTAATATATGACTGATTCATTGTTATGCAGAACAGTGTAACCATGAAGAAAGGTTTGTATTGTTACTAGTTGTGCTGTTTTCCCCCTTTGAGGATACGACCATCCTACATATTTTACCATCATAGTTTAATTGTTTAGACTTTTAAATGGCCTAATCAAGCCAAAGGTTGACAAAAATATTTTTTATTCGAAAAATTATGTGAAAAGTCTTTATATACTGCATAGCATTTTTAAACATTCTTTTGAGTTCACATATCATATTAATATGCTTGCCTATGATACATTATCTATCGTTTTTGATGGTAGACAATTTTTCAAATTTCCAGTGTGTTTAGGGGTTAATCTTGATATAGAACATTGATCAATGGAAATACCTAGTTTCTCTCGTCTTCGTTATTGACGTGATGCCATAGTCAATAAGGTCATCACGTGCTGTTTTGTTTTTATAAGAGATCATTGTAGCATGAACTAAACTATGAATAGGAGCAGTTGTCTGTTCTAGAAGAAAATCGTGTGATTCCCTGGAAGTCTACCCACCCACTATTGATATAAGAGTGGCCTCAGTGAAATGGATGGTCCATTCATGTTGAGAGAGAATTTTGTATGTAATTTAATATTTTTCTCTATTTACCAGACTTATAGGTTTGGATTTAGAGACTTTGAGATATTTTTAAGACTAATCATTCATGAAGGTTTTGATGCATTTCTTGCCAGACTTAAGATTCAAAAATATCATTATTACAGAGACTTAGATTCAGAGATAGATAGCTTTTTGTAAGAAATTCTGCAAACGTATAGACTATGAAACTAGCGTAAAAGAACTAGAGGTAGAATGATAAGAAAGTGTCAATATAGTTTTCTCTTTTTCTCGAACTAACACAGTACAAACGTTTGTCTAGCTTTAACCTGAATATGACTTTGTTGAAGTGTAATAAAGATTATTTTGAAGTTTCTGCACGTTACTCTGAGGGAAATCAGAGCAAACTGAGAAAATCATAGGGAAGGTTGTAAGTAAACATTTTGGTGCCATGACCATGGATAATGTTATTGCAGAGGTGTGTTTTCTGTATGTCCTGTTGTTTGTACTCTTCAGGATCTTGTGCTATTTCGCAGAAACATCTTTAGGGAATGGCATTTTCTTAATGACTTAGAATCACAAGTAAGAAACAGCCTCTGGAAGTGAGTGGTTATAAGGGAGCATTGTAAGATTTGGAAGAATTCCCTTCCTAGACATCAGACTTTTGCTTGCTGATGATGTGGAGATTCTTGATAAATATTATCCTCTGACTACAGCCCAGGGAAGGAGAACCATCACTATCTGGGGCACCCAGAGTAACCAAAGAAATTCATTCCTGAGGTTTGACCTCAGCAAGCAGAAGTCTTATTTAACTAAGAATCATCAGGGTTATTCATGGTCTGATGGGTTCAAGAATGATTGGGGTACTTTCTATAGAACATCCAGACAAATGTTGGTCAGTGTAGAGCCATCAAGGCTCTGGCCATTTCTACCTGTCCAATGAAGATAGACTTGGGATGTCATGAGTGGATGACATTAACTACCAAGAGCTGATTCACCAGAAAATGCAAATACGTGAAGGTGGTGAATGTTGGGTAGCTTTTAACCTCTCTGAGCGTGGAGACATACTGCAAAAAACCCATGGATCACAAAGGATTTGAGAGTTAGACTGAACCATTTGGTAATATACTAGTGTTACTGGTATTATCTCACCATTATGCGATTCACTAGTACAAATGCATGGCTCCTTGCACAAATACACCCTGCGCCTGCCATATTACTGGCAGCCAGGACACCTCCACCTGGCATAAGCTGAGTGTTTGAGGTTGGGAGGCTTATGCTAAAGTCACAGACATCTGTGAGTTTGGCAATGCTGAACTACCTCTGATTTTGTTAATGGAATGGCAAAGGAGGACCTTGATAATATCATCAGGTATTTCAGGCAGTTCACTCCTTGGAATGGATGTAGGTGATGATACAATGCCTGACTCTGAATTTAGATGGTCCATCCCTTGACATCATCACCTATCTAAGCAAGACAGTCACTAACAAGTTGCACCAATGCTTGGGCCTGGTGAAAAACCAAGCCATCCATCAAGCCAAGCTCAATGCTCAAAGTATGGATACCTCTAAGTGCTTGGATGTATATATGAATTACTATGCCAACTGCACAGTCAAATTTATCCACCAATAGCCTTTACAGATTACAAAGATATCCTAGTTATCCTAGTTCATAAAGGAACAACTGAGTGAAGTTATGTGGCAGCACATATGAGTGAATGATATTTTCACCATCACTGAGTCAGTGTTTGACATGATGATACTAAGAATAGTAACTCTGAACAAATTCAAAGAAAGTAAAAGCCAAAAGCAGCAACTAGGTTAGACATATGATTTTCCTTTAGAAGATATCACTGTACTATGAACTATACCATGAATAAAATCAGTGATCTGTTTTAGAGGGAAACCACGTGATCATCTACAGGTCTGACTCACTTATTTTTGTCACGAAAGTGGCCCTTAGTCACATGAATGTAACATGTTTTTGGGAAAAGTGAGGACTGTACATACAATGTAATGCTTTTTTCTTCTTTTACGAAGCTTCTAGATTTAGATTTTTAAGCTTTGGGATATTTCTAAGACTAAGCATTTTTGGACATTTTGACGCACTTCTTGTCAAACTTAAGATTCAGGGTTATTATCATAACTGAGAATTAGATTAATTTTTGTGAAAAAGATAGTGCAAACATATAGACTGTAGTCCGCACAACTGAGAATCTAGAATAATAGTGGTAGAGGTAAACTAGTGAGAGAGTGTCAGTAAAGCTCTCTCTCTCTCGAGCTAGCACACTGCAATCATTTGCCTAAGAGTTAATTTGAATTTGACATTGCTTTTATGTAAAAAAAGTTTGTGATTATCTACATTCTGTGAACAGTTTCATTTTGTTTTGTAAAGACTTAGTCAAAGGCAAAGAAAATCTAGGTACTGCTTTGTAATGCAATATTTGACGAATCTTCCTGTTTTTGCGGTTCTTGAAGACTACTCTGAGGGAAATCAGGGCAAACTGAGAATACTACACCATTATATAGGTGGAGTCAAATGCTGCTGGAGAATGGGGGCATTGGGAAAGTTTAAACTGTTCATCATTTCAGTAGGCTTGAACATATGATTAATTCACTCACTAGTTATCCTTTTATAAATAGTAGTTAATAAATACATAAAATGTTTTGTTATTGTAATGTTCTATTTTTGCTAAAAAGTTTGCTAAAAGAATCTAAACTAATACTTACTGGTAGAACATCCAAGCACATGGCGAGCTATTTAAAAAAATATTCATTATTATTACAAAACATTAGATACATAAAGTCTGAAAACTTATTGAATAATACTAATTAGACCTTAAGTTAATTACAAACGATAAGAACAATATATGTTTATATTTCATTGTGTTCCATAAACATTTACAAGCACCAATCACAGAATAATACAAAACTTTTATTTTTTGCGGGAAGTATTCTAATAATGCTGCAGAATAAGATGCCACAAGAATTAAAGATACGCCAACATAAACTTTGATCTAAGAAACGAAATGAGTTACACAAAAGAATAATACAATAATGAATTAAAGATATTGCAACATAAGCTTTCAGTCTAACAATGAAAAAGAGTTACACAATAGAATAAGACAATAATGAATTAAAGATACTGCAACATAATTTTTGAGTCTAAGAATGAGAAAGGGCCACACAAAACAAGAGTTACAAGTTTTTTTCGAATTTAAATAATAAGTATACAGTTACGCTGAGTTACTAAAGTAGAGTTAATTTATTTCTCTTGAGAACAAAGTATCGTAATTCATATAATACATTTACATCGCTAAATAAATACCAAATATAAATAGTTATATACTAGATAAGATCATCACAGTTAGTTAAACGTACTATTAGAATTTGTTATGAAATTGTATTTTATATTTTTGGATTATATGGAAAATAACTGAGGGATTACCAACAACGTCAAACGTTTAAGCACATATCTTAAAGATAAACTATTAGGTTGAATAAAATATTAGCCAAACAACTTACCATAAAACCTGTTTCTTCTTCTTTACAGATTTCATGTAGAACTCCAGCGTCCGTAGCCCCAGGAAGAAGAGAAGCTTTACAGTTGTCCCAGTGATTCATGTACTATAAGTTATTAATTACATAATTAGACAGTGAAAGGAACAGCTAGAAATACGGTGTCCGTTAATCAGTGAAGCTCTATATGATTATTACCCAGAACTAAAATATCACCTTTATCAGATGCATGGAAAATTTTACTTAATCTATGAGAATTACAACATTTATTGAAATGCTTTACCAGAAATATAATATATCAGAAACCCACCAAATTAGTAAGTAACTTCCACAAAGGCTCGTTGCAAAATGTACCCAAAGATCAGATAAATAACTTATCCAAGGCCTAAATGACTAATTAAAACTTTTACCAAAAATGACTATTCGATCTAAAAACCACCAAATTAGTGAATAACTTCCACAAAAACTCGATGCAAAACTTACCCAGAGATCAGATAACTTATCCAAGATCTAAATGACTAACTGAAATGTTTTCTAAAAATAAATGTTCTATCTGAAAACCATCAAATTAGTAAGTGATTTACAGAAATTCTCGACTTATAATTTACCCAGGCATCAGAAGAATAACGTACAAGAAAAAAAGTAAGTAACCTACCCAGGGAACAGATTATTAACTTATTTAGGGGTAAAGTGAACTACTTACCCAAGCACCTGCATTTGTTCTTATACATGAAGCGAAACTTTCCATTTCTGCAGAGTTTAACTCTGGAATAAAAACAGGAGATAACGTGTGAGAATAAAAACCAAATACATTTTGTAAGATCCTAAAATATAGATAATTTCGATGAAGCTAGAGAGAAACATGTGATAATTGTGAATATGGTAAACTGACTAACCACAAAACGGTATTCCTGGAGGTTCGCTCCACACTACTGACAGACACAAACAGAGAACGAGTATAGTTTTCATCTTGTTTTTCGTTTAATAAATTATCAAGAACATGTAACAACACCGAGGTAAAGGAGCCAAAATGTGCTCAAGCATGTGAAGTACCTTTTATACGGAGTTTGTCGTGATATATATTTAGCTTGGTTGTTGGTTAGGAAAACTTTTAAGCTAAGAACGTGACGCATTATTGTCCTTGAAGCCACCTGTAAGATTCTCACTCAAGTCAAAGTCATATCTCAATATCAGATGGTATACATCTAAGTCAAGCAGCACGTGTTCAGTACTGCAGATATTAAGCTACATAAGATAAAAGTTAACTTATTATCAGCCTCATAATCATTTTTCCGAATGTCGTTGTATTACATTAGCAGATTCGTGTTCACATGCAGATGGTGTAACGATGTGCATTGAAAAAACACCTTGAACGAGGCCTGTGAAATTATGTAAACTGACTTTTTTTTATTCAACATAAGTTTTAGTTGTTTATTTTTCTGAAATGTTTTTGTGTGAATAGAAAAAATAAAAACAATGCTGTTTCTTTGATGAATAAAGTCAATTTAGCCCACATAAAAATTTTTTCTTAACCACATAAAAGTTTTTTAAATCCGGTTTTATTTAGGTTTGAGATTGTAAGCACTACAGATCTTTTTTCTTTCAGTCTAAGACATTTCCATTAATAAAGAGACATCAGTTTAGTAAACAATAGAAATTGTTTATATCTGTCTTCATGTATCAAGCAGGCGGTAGCACTGCCTATATAGGGGTGGTTTGGATTGTTCATCGAAAAGGTATTTTAAATATCTCCTCAATAGGTCGTCAGAATTTTACAATACTATATAGTGTTTCCTCTTATAAACATAACTATGTAATGACTGAATCACAAGTTCTGGGAATGTCTGTAAAAATCATAGCGAAAAGTTTGAATTTCTTGGTCTTCTTTCTGCTCCTTTTTTATTACATGATAACTCAAAAACCAAAACAATGGCGTTAGTCAATTTCACTGAGGTGACATAGTTTCAAATGGAGTTATTAATAACTAGTAGTAATTAAAAAAAATCATAAATCTATTGTAAACCCCTTAAAGCTGGCTTTTTTTACAGACATTTATTGTTCGTTTAAAAAAAAAAAGCTTGAATACAGGGTGAAACAGGAATTATCAGCCAATAATAGATAAATAATATATATTACAGTTGAAACCTCATTGTATTTATAACATGGTTATAAATAAAACTTTCCTATGTCTATTGAAACCCTGTATTAAAAACAAGCAAACAAGTAAAGAAAACAACTTTTCAAAAAAGAAGTAAATGTAGGGATGGCTAATATCAATCCTTCACAAACAATGCAAGATAGCACAGGCAAGAATTTACATATAGCAATATATATAACTATTCAATCGCGATTGAGTTAAATTTGTCCTATTTTTGTTTGTTAACATTCCATTACTCTGTGTGCCTGTGCTATTATGTAGGGATGATGCAACTGCCATACCTATTATCTTGTGGCAAGTCTGAGAGCTTATAAAGGTAAAAATTGGGTTTCTATACCTACGATGAGCAGAGTACAGACAGCCTATTGTTTAGTTTTATGCTTAACAACAAACAACCAAAATCACCCATGGCTGTAAACACTACAGGTCGTTTTCACCCATTTTACAATACATTACCGTAAGCACTAGCAGCGATATCAATAATTGTTGTTTGGTATATTGAAGAATAACTGTGTAATGCAACTGAAGTGATATCTCATTTGTTCTTTAAATATGTCACGAATTTTAAATTGATTAATTATAAATTACTCTGTAGAATGAAACGCCTAAAGACGGTTGCACAAGCCGTGACCTAAATGAAAAACAATGTGGAAAAACTTTCTGTGAGTTGGGCTAATTGTTTCCTTCTGTTTTTAAACATAACATTGCGTATTATACAATGTTCTTATTTAGTTCAGTATTCTATGCAATTACACTGGTTTCATGATTCCAACAGAAAATAACTTTAATTAACCAGATACGATTTATTTTACAAAATCAAAATGAAATGCTTAAATTGTATTGTATTACAATCTCTGGGAATCTGTTATTCTAATAAATATTTCTTGTATTTATCTTGAAGCAATTCTTTGATCACATTATGTGCAAAATAAAACCAGTTTGACATATTACGCATAAATATTTTCCATTATTTCATAAAATTTTTCTTTCCTTTCAGGATGTGGATTTTGCCTGGTTAACTTTTTGTGTCTGCCTCCTGCACGCCGATCTCATTTGGTTAGCCTTACCAGTTCTATCTATTGTTTGGTTCCATTTGATTAGTCTTTATTGTGCCTCTCTTTGGATTCTTGTCAGGCTAACTTCATCTCGTGTGTTGGGATATGGGTCTTGCCAGACTATCCTTTTCATTTGTATGCTTCTACTTACCTTTTCAACTGTGTCTCTATTTGGGTGTCGTCAAGATAACCCATTCATTTGTATGTCGTATGACCTTCTTATGTGTGATTGGATGTGGATCTGGTCAGGCTAATATACTCATTTGTGTCTCCATATATATCTCGTCAGGCTAATATACTCATCTGTGTCTCCATATATATCTCGTCAGACTAACCTACTCATCTGTATCTTATTGTGGTTCTCGTCAGACTAATCTTCACAGGATGTGAGTCTATTGAGGCTAATTTATTCATGTGTGTCTCGATATGTGTTTCGTCAGGCTAACCTTCTCAAGTGTGTCTCTGTTTAAGTTTCGCCAGCCTAGCCTGTCGCGACTGCATTTACAACGTTTGCATTTCATGCAAACATAATATCTTCCAACCTTCAACTTGAAGAATGGACACAAATGGAAGGAAGAACGTATTTTCAAAGAATGTTTCTCTGCAACAAATTAACTGATAAGTACAAAAGTTCTATTGTTCGAAGTTACTAATACTAAGTTATCGTGAAAGGCAATGCTAGTGTTTCTTAATCTTTTGCCGGATCTTGTGATGACCAAAACAGTCATTAATTTCTGTACAATCAACTCTCGATTTTAGGTTTACAATATAAACTACTTTTATAACAACAAGATTAGTGGTGTTCTGCTATATTCTATCTTATCTAGTAATGCCCTTGTGTGTGGTGTAAAGGAGACAATCATCCAATTACTCCAGTCTTTTTCTTCTCGTAAATTACGCATGTTGAGCAATGTATTTTAGGTGTTTTTATAGCTATTTTTTATTATTATGGTAATCTTGTATTATCTGTTTCGTATATTGAAGGTAGTTTTGTGTTGTTATTTTAATTCAAAATACTATTGCTTATACCACGTTTAACTTCGCTATTTATGTTTCATTTATCACACTAGCACAATGTGAGTCACTTAGTTATGATGACTTTTTACTTTGTGCTTGACAGTCGAAGAAATGAAAAATAACAAAATGTAACTTAAAACAAGTTATTTTTATTGAAATGATTTTTCTGGCAGAAACACCTTTCTTGTAGACCAATAAATTCATGAACGAAAACTTAGAAAATGATGTAAACCATGTTTCTCAATCTTTTGTACCTCCAGTTTCACTTAGTTATTTGACACAATAGTAAAGGTCCACTTACGCAGTTGATGGATCATTAATTTAGAACAGTCGTAGTTGTTCCGGCCCAACGACTCACGCCCCAACGGTTGGGGATCACTGAGCTAAACGATTTAGGGTATCTTATCAATCAGATTAATTAAATTATAAAAACGTTTCAATAGCTCATAAAAATGATTACGTATTCACTTAAATTTGCTTTTCATTACCTTGCTTTCATAATAGAATATTAAATCCTCTCACTCATACGCTTTCTTGGGGCATATTGTCGACCAACGAAAATATTTTTTAGTCACTAATTTTTAATCTCTCATTCGAGAATCAATATAAATTTTATTTGCAGATTTTTCTTCTTTTTTTACAATGAACACCTTAAAATTCTATTAGCTTTGCTGCTAACAGGAGAGCACTTCCTGGATGACTTGAGGTGATTTATCCACTACTATGCCAAAATTCGTTTCATCAGCTGAACTATTAATTGGCTTTCCATCTATTTTGATAAAAAGTTTAGAAAAAAACGACCTCTACACTTCAGCTGTATATTGGCTTTCGTTTTTTATTATTACATTTCACTATATGATTTTGTAAAGATTTTTTTTATCAGACTTTCTAGAACTTTTCCCAATACAGAAGTAAGATTCACTGGCCCATCATCTCCAGGATAACTTTTCTCAACCCATTTTAAACCTAGGGTAACATTAGCAACACTTCAGTACTCAGGCACCTGCCCCTGTCTAGTGATATACAAAAAGGAAAGATATTTTTAACCTCCTTAAGGCCTGGGGAAACTTTGTTTGGATCTGGGAAATTATTACTAAAAATTTCCAATTACCACAAAAGGATTAATATCTACGTGATTCAGGCCCATTCCTATTTTACATAGACTGCTCAGGGTCAGGAACGTTGCTAATATATTCGCTCATTAAAAAATAATAAAATAAAAAACTGTAAATGTTCAGCCATCTGTTACTCGTTAAAAAAAACTCTTGCTATCAGGTCATATCATTTTAAAACACCAGGCTGAAAACTCTTAATTTTTTTAAGCTTGTCAACTTTTAAAGTTTAAAATCAAAGGCGTTTCAAGCACCAGGGTTTACGGTGTTAAGACTTGTATTTTATCCTTTTTTTTTTTAAATATAACATCTATTGATAACCTCATGGTTAGCGGTCTTAATATTTCCTGTTTAGCAAGTTATAAAACATAAAATACTTGTAGAACAACAAGTTAGTTTAACGGTTTAACGATTTCCGAAGTATGATTTTTAAAATTTAACTGTTTTATCGCAGCAGGATTACTGATCTTAATTTTTGGAGATTATCAGTTTTTAAATCGTAATGTGCCTTCGTAGCAATATGTTAAATGTTCATAAGATTTTCCATTTATAAAGTTTTAATTTTTGAAAGGTTTTCGTAACATCAGTACTAAATGTCTGACAACTTGTAGTTTCTCAATTTCTAACGCATAAAGCGCTTTTCTTGCAATGAAGTTGAGGATCTTAAGATTGGCAGCCTTGGGAGTTTCTAATCATAAAATCAATTATTTTCC